TTTTTTTTGTTTTTCTCCGGTACCAGGAACCGAACTCACGACCTTGCGCTTGCCAGGCAGGCGCTTTGCCACTGAGCTAAATCCCCAGCCCGCTGGGATTTTTCTTAACCAAGAAGAACTTGAATCCAGATCTTTTCATTTATTGTCTAGTATATTTAGCTTATTAGTGTTTTCTATTTTCAATTATAAGGTGTGGTTCTCTGACTATATTTCCAGATTTCCTCCAGAGATTATATCATTTAATTGGAATTATTCGTACGCAGTGATTGTCACTGCATGACATTGCTGAAAATGTAGATGGAGAATGAAACTATTTTACTGGTCCTGTTGAAACTACATTTTAGTCTTTATAATTCCACATCTGTCGATTATTAGGAAGAAAATTAGATTTCTTGGACTAAGTAGTTAACCTTATTAGGTGACATGAACAGTTCTAATAAAGTTTATATACTTACTATTTTAATGATGATAGTGCTAAGTCTGTGATCATAAATTTTACAGCGTCAGCTAATGGGTATGTATTTCATAGTGTGGATTCTAAGGCATTTCTACTAAAAGACGAAAAGTAATAAATTGATTATTCTAGTACAGTTTTTTTATTTCAAAGAGTAAAGTCCTATATTTATTGATACCTAACATACCAATTGGGTTTTTATTTTATAGCAGCTTCCTTTTCTGAACAATTTCATAATTTTTCCTTTCATAGCCTGGTGCTAAAAATTTTTCTTATAAATTTGAAAATCTGACCAATTTCTAAATAAAGGAGAATCAGATTTCTGATCCAGAAGTGTGATTTTACTGAAAGCAAACTATTTTTAGCATGTCTTTGAATTGTATAACCTTCAAGCAGAATTTTGGGTATAAATCTATTTATGATGTCTTTGAACTGACTTTGTCTTTGTTTACAGCGAGTGACAAGCAGCCACTTCCAGGAATGGAGCGAGTAACTAGAAATATGAAATTTCTATATTTAAACTTAAATTTGCAAATTTTAAATTTGTATATGTCAACTTTCAAAAGCCTGTTTTATGCTGAATATCAGCAAGCTGCTTTAAATATAATTGCTAGGCATTGTCTTTTGTTAGTGTAACATTTTCCTGAAAACCATGGCACGTATTAAAATTTATGTAGCAAATTTGCCTTGGAGAAAAGTTTTAAGAGTTGCCTTTTAAAAAGTAATCCAGGAATATTGCTAAAGTCTAATTTTAATTCCATTTCTCTGGTAGTGTATGGGTTTTTATTGCTTTATGCTTCTACTCTTATTCAACTTAAATCGGAGTACCTAAAGACTATAAAAAGTATTGCCTTTATAATGAGACTATTTGGTAACATAACTGCTTAATGGGTGCCCTGAACCATTAATTTTATTGCTATCATTTTATCGTTGGTCATTTCAGAAGACCGTTTTTGAACATCAGGCTAAGATCTGTGAATATGAAATTATATTATTTTCCAATGATTTTCAAGAGTGTGATACATATTTATGGGTGGGGAGTGGAGGAAATACACATTTGAAATTCTTTAAAGTATCTGTAATGAGACGTCTTCCTTAGGTTTAGAAATAAATGGTGGGGAGCTCTCCACAAACTGTTAAAGATAGTGCCCTTGTTGTAGGTAGCCCCAGAAGAATTTAAGACCAGCATTGGCCGTGTGAATGCATGTTTGAAAAAGGCTCTCCCAGTCAATGTTAAATGGCTGCTGTGTGGATGTCTCTGCTGCTGTTGCACACTGGGTTGCAGCCTGTGGCCTGTTATTTGTCTCAACAAAAGAGTGAGTATAATCATTTTATTGTGTAACAATAAGAGCTAATGTTTATCTAACACTATGTTCCCAGAACTGCTTCAGTGTCCTCTATATGCTTTTTTTTTTTTTTAATTCCTATAGTAGTTCCTATAGTAGTTTATTTTAGAGATAAACTCAGGGGCAGAGACATTAAGTCATTTGTATAACCTTTATCAATACTTTATCATTTAACATGAGTTCTCATCATTTTAAATAAATGCAATGGCATTAGAGTACTTAAGTAAATAGAAATACAAGTGAACTACTTATTCTTTTGTTAAAACCTAAAAGTATGACTTAAAACATTTCCAAGCCATAGGTATATGGGAGAGCGTCTGATCTGTGTTTTTTTTTTTGTTTAACTTTATTTTTCTTGGTACTGGGAATCGAACTCATGGCCTCAAGCTTACCAGGCAAGCACTTATGCCACTGAGCTATATGCCCAGCCCCAAGAAAGGCTCAAGAGGGGGAAACCCACACAGTTGGGGAAGATTCTTAGTCTTGAACATGTTACAACAATATTCTAACATAACTTTACTAGTTATGTCATGAATTTAAGGCTACTGCCTTAAGCTTGTGTTCTTTAAAATTTCATTTTTGTCTTCAGAATGTTTTCCCCCCATGGGAAGACACCTTTAGGATGTGTGATTGAGGCCAACACAGATAATGCATTCCTTTCATCTGAAGTTCTTTCTCAGTACCATATTAATGTTTTCCTTTAAACTTTTAAATAATTATCCCACTAAATCGGATTCAAAATTTTAGTAACTCGTGGAAGAATAATGGTTGCAATTATTTTATTAAGGTGAAAAATATTCCCAAGAAATACTCATTTTTTTCTGCCCATTTTTCTCCTACCTTCTTCATGTTTACTTTAAAAAGATAAATGCAGTAATATACTATTGCCAATTCCCTGACTTTTTAAATGGAAAAATGGCTAACTACCAGTAGGTCAGGGCTTTACTCTAAGTACAGCTTAACTGATCAAAGAATATATAGTCTTTTCGACCAGCTTTCTGTAGTTTCTTTTAAATTTTGTAACTGTCATAACTGACTTTTAAAAGCTATGACCAGTAACTCCTACCTGTATCCTTTATTTTAAAAGCCTCAATGTAAATTAATTATGTTTGTAATTTCTCATCATGTAAATATAGTCAATTTCAATTACTTCAGAACAGAATGTTTTGGTTTTAATATTATCTATAGTCTGTCATTTTTCTTTGACCTGTGTATGCTTTGTCCATTTGTTAATATTTCCAGGAGAGGGCTTGAAATAGGGAAAAACAATTGTTTTTACCATTTGATTTTTCTGTGAGAACTTCTAATAGAATAGCAGATGAAAAATAAGGTAATATTGATGCTGCTAGCTCTCCTTATTGTCCATTACTTTAGTTGATTAAGAAGAATTGAGACATGTTATATGTATGTACCACCTCCCCATGAAGATTATAATCATTATGTGCTCCAAACAAGTACTAATAAAAAAGTAAAATTGAATAAGAAGTTCATACTGAACTTGAAGTATCAGTCTATTCCAATTCATAATCTTTCAGTTAAAAATTCAACATAGATTTGTAAACCGTCACCCCATGAACCAAATCCATACCACTCATTTGAATCAGTTGTTCTTATTTAAAAAAATTGGAATATTGGTGCTGGCAGTATAGATTGGTGATAGAGCACTTGCCTAGCATGCACAAAGCCCTGTATTGGAGGGTACATCCCCAGCACCACAAAAAACTACAAAAATAAAATAAAATAAACATTGGAATATTTAAAATAAAAATTGTAATATCCAACCTCATGAAATCTAAAAGGTTTCACAATACTGGATACATTTCCCTATCTGTTTGCAAATGGTTCTAGCTGAATGGTGGCTGTTCCTCTTAAATAGGACATACAGTTTCTGGTTTATCGCCAAAGTGCCCGGCATTTACATTATCTATAGGCATTATAGTTCATAGCCTCTGATTTTGTGCGTGCCATGTCAACACTACACCACACAATGAAATGTTAAGCACATACTGGTAATCTCATGCAAGATACTATCCTTTCTGGATCCTATTTCCTCACCTTTAAAAATCAACATAATACTTATAAGGTAGTTATAATGAGAATGAGATGTAAAATATATCACTGCTTTTGTGTCTACAATGAAAAATAAAAGCAAAATACAATGTAAAAATTTTTATACCTTCACTACTGCTTCCTAATCTGTAAATAAGTAGTATGGACTATCATAGTTTAATTGGAAAGGTAATTTGTATCCATGTAGCCTAAATCCCTTACTTTGTAGGTATGGAAACTAAGGTCCAGAGCAGTGAAGTTACTTTCCCAGGGCTACATAACAAATGGCATAACAACAACAAGAGAATCTTCATTTTGTTTTGTTTTGGTCTTTGTTTCTAACACTGTATTTATTCTCTTGACATCAGGATTCTGATATCAAATACCCTATTCCTGAGTCAGGAAATATTTGGATATGCTTTGTGATAAACAGCACTGGGTTTGAATTCTGTAACAGTGGTTGGAAATTTTTTTCATAAAGAACCATATAGTAAATATTTTAAGCGTTATGGTACAAAGTTCTCTGTTTCATTTATTTAACTCTGCCATTATAGCATGTAAACAGTCATAAACTATACATAAATAAGTGAACCCTGCTGTGTTGTCATAAAATATTGATGTTATTTGCAAAAATAGGTTATAGTTTGCCATCCTGTTCTAGCCATCTCTGATTGGGTTGCTAGCTTTATAGAAGTCATGTCTGTTTATCCATAAAATAATATAGAAATAATATGATTACTTTGTCTTGTATCACAGAGTTGCTTTGTGAACCAGTGATTATAAAATCTTTCAAAACAACTTTTATGTAAATAGTCTGCCTTATGAACTTTTTTTTTTTTTTTTTGGGGGGGGGGTTTTCTCCGGTACCGGGAACCGAACTCATGACCTTGCGCTTATGAACTATTTTTAACCAGGTGTAATTTGTGGGCTTGCAATAACAAGTACTGTGATAGAGAAAAGAATCAAGATAAGGATACCTTCAGCTCCCTCTAATAACTTTTGGCTCTGCTGGGAGTTCTATGATAGCATGATACATGGAATGAAAGTCTTTATTTACCTGTTCTTACATATATCTCTGAAACAACTGTGATATCATAGAAAATTAAAAGAATAGCCTAAAGGCCTAATCATGCCACTACCCTTGAAACTGAAATAACGGTGCTTTTAACCTTTTTTTCTTTTTCTTCAATATTTGACAAATTGGGGGAGGCATGTTCAGAAGGAGGGGATTATTCTCCATTTCACAATATGAATGTGATGTTTTAGGAGATGGAACTTATAATTCACTGTCTTGATTCAAGGTTTTTGTACCTAATCATAAAAAGAACTAAAAGCAAATGATAGAAAAGCCCTTCCATACAGTATGCTATATGGAAGAGAAAATCAGTCTTTGCAGTAGAGAGAAACATTTCTGCTAAGAGTTAAGCACAAATTATGTATAACTTCTATTTAGACCTTTTATTTATGCTTTTCACAGAGTACATTCTGTGCTCTTAGAGTAGTAATAACTTGGTCATAGCATATCTTTTCCTTACTGTCTTTGAAGTTTTAAATTTTTATGTTGAACTTCAGTCATTTGACTAGAGCAAAGAAAATGTTATTTATGACACAAGTACTAAAGGATGATGAGTTCACTTTGTCCTTTTGTCAGCGTTAGTAACGAATAGTAATACTGCATGTGAGATTTTGTCAGCTCTAACATGCAGTGCTTGATATTTAGCTAACTTTAATACTTTTCCTCATCAGTTGAGTGTCATTTGTCTACTTTTTAAAAAGTATTTTGAGAAATAATTTATTTGCATGAAATTTACGTATATTGAGGACAATTAAATTTTAGTATACTTATAAAGTGATTGTGTAACTATCACTACATCCTAATTTTAGATTGTTTCCATTATCCTGAAAAGGAAACATTGTGATCACTTCTAGTCACTCCCCATTTTCATACCCAGTCCTCCCAATCCTAAGCAACACTATTCTACTTTCTCTTTTGGACATTTTATATATTACATCCGTAGAATGTATATTCTTTCATGGCTAGCTTTTGAAGCTTAGAAAAATAGTTTTTATTGTGATGATAGACAACATAAAACGTGCCATTAAGCACACAGTGTCATGCAGCTGTCAACACAGTAGTTCCAGAACTTTTTCATCACCCACAAGGAAAACCTCATACCTGATAAGCAGTCACTCCTCATTTCCCTTACCCTCAGGAGGGGAAGAAATATTCCCATCTCTTACCCTGCAGAAGAATTTAAGAAGGATTGATATTACTTCTTAAGTATTTGGGAGAATTTAGTAGTGAAGCCATCTGGTCCTGGAATTTCTTTTTGGTGGGTTTTTGATTACTTATTCAATCTCTTTACTTGTTCAGACTTTCTGTTTCTACTAGGAAATTGTCAGTTTCATCTAGGTTATTTACTGTATTGGCATACCATTTATCTTACTATTTTCTTAAAATCATTTTTATTTCTGTCAGATGTACAGTAATGTTCTCACTTTCATTTCTGATTTTAGTAAATTGAGTCTTTTCTTAATCCATGTAGCTGAAGGTTTTTCAAATTTGTCAGTCTTTTGAAGAACCAACATTAGTTGAAGAACCAGCCTTAGATTTTGTTTAGTTTTTATTGTTTTTCTATTCTTTATCTTTACTCTGCTCTTTTATTTTGTTCTTTCTTCTGTTATCTTTGGGTTTGATTTACTCTTTTTTTCTAATTCCTTAAGGTATAAAATTTGATTATTGATTTGAGACCTTCTTTATTTCTGCTTTAATTAAATCCTGTAAGTCTTGGTATGTTGTTCTTTCATTTTCAGGGTTTTTTTTTTTTTGGTACTGGGAATTGAACTCGGGACCTTGTGCTTGCCAGGCAGGCGCTTGTGCCACTGAGCTATATCTCTGGCCCTGTTCTTTCATTTTCATT